CCCCCTCCCCTCTCTCTCTATCTGTGTGTCTCTATCTCTTATTCTTTTTTCTCTGTAAGTACACGATAAACCAGGTGTATCAAATATCAAAGCAAACACCCCAATGCAGTCGTCAAGAAAGTACGTCCGTTTTTTCTCAGAATCGTTCCATTCGTCAAAGTAATGGGAGCTCGGCGCCTGCGAGGCCCGGGGTATGCCACCCCGCCGTACACGCCTGCACTGCAGACAAGATATTGCCTACCTACCAGGCGCTATGGGAGCTTGGAGAGCCCTGAACTCGGCGCAGATTGTCGACGGCGAATGACGGACGGACGTGTATAAACTCTTTGGATGATCTCCACTACTTCATCGCCCCTGTGGCCCAAGACCCGCGAGTGCTGGTGTTGTGTTTTGGTCGCTCCGACACATGTCACCGTGGCGGTGACGTGCGGCGTGAGGCCTCGCCGATGACGACACGGCGACGACACGCCGCCGCCACCGGGAATGACCGTGAATAGCGAGGATGATAAACCTCAACCATAAACCATACGCCGCCGGACGAGAAAAATTCAATCAATATGCCAACGCCCGGGCAACGTGGTGGGAGCATGAATAAGGCATGGGCCAAGATATACTGTCGGGCCCGAGCGGGGCGGACAAACCCAAATCGCCGTTAATGGAGCCACACTGGGAGTATAAGGTGGGGCAGAGCAGGGGCGCAGGGGGTGTGAAACGAGCGTCTCGTGTCTGCCAGCGCGGAACTGATCGCCCCGCATATGGTTGACACGACGTCACCGGCGAGCACTCTAAATGTCAGCAGCAGTGACAGCAGTTCTGTCCATAAGTCTGCGTTCGTCCACGTCCTGCCTGAGTCGTGGGCGCAATACGGTCACCAATTGCATCCGATTAATGCGGCATTCTTTGTCCCCGTTTCGTCGTGGACTCACTCACTCACCGTGTGTCCGGAGACGCGGTGCGGACGGCGCCGAGGGTGCACAGGTGCCTGTCGGTATCGGCGGTTTCCCTCTGGTCGCGCGATAGGGGGGCACTCCGCCTCTGTCTGCACTGGTAAAACAAAGGCGCTACATAACGCCTTTCCTGGGGCGCTAAAATCAAAGCCTCATTTTCACGCCTTTCCTAGGGTGCTAAACCTTAGCGCCTCAGGAAAGGCGCTAAATTATTGGTGGAGTTCAGAGGTTAGCGCCTTTGATAATTCTCGCTCCATATAATTTATTATTTTAAAAATTGAATCCGTATTATGTTTATATTGTCAGGATTTGACAATACGATGTCCCAAATCATGTTAATTACTTGTCAACAAATGTGTTTTGAAAGCCA